CGCCGCCGCCGCCCCGCGCTCCCCGCCTCCCGCGCCGCCTGCCCCGCTCGCCGGCGGCGCCTTCCTGCCCTCCCTCCCTCTGCCCCCTCCCTCCCCGTCCCGGCCGCCCGCAGCTCCCAGGTAGGGTCCCCGGGGGTTCTCGCCCGCCGCCGGCAGCGCCTGCCCGCGGCGGGGCTCCGCTGCTGTCCGCAACTTGTCGGTCTGCGGGGGCTGCCCCCCGCCGCCGCCCCGCGCCCCCCTCCGCTGCCGCCCGCGGCGGCGGCGGCCGCCGGTGCTTTGCCGAGCAGCTGTCAAACGTTCTGGGCGCTCGGCGGCGGCGGGGGCGGCTCGCCCGCTGTCCCCGCACCGAGCCCCGGCGAATGGCATGACTCTGCCTCCCGCCCGCCCCCCCGGCTGCGGTGTGCCGTAGTGAGGCGAGGGGTGGTTAAACCCCCATCCTCCCATACATACGGTTTTTATTTTTTGTTCCTCTTCGTCTTGGGGCTTTCACATCACGGAACAGGAAAGCATCTGATGCGCCGGCTCACATGCCACTTCTGATCATACGTTGCCTCTTTGCACAGAGCAGGATCGTTGGGAAAGATGGAGATACAATAAGTTGCTAGTAGTGAAAAGTGCTGCGGAATTTCAGTGGTTTCTCCAGTGAAGTGACATATTTTTCCTCCAGTTAAGTTGAAAGCACTGCTTGGCGGAGACTGTCGTTGAGAGTGGGTTTGTGTTTTTCTTGCACCGTTAGGTTTTGCAAAGAGCGGCGATGAAGAGGAAACTGGCACTCTCCGAGATGCAGTTGGTTCTTCTCGTTTTATTGGTGTGGCTACCAACAAGGTGAGAGGATATTTAGTTTTGTTGATCAGTGCAAACATGTATGTTCCAGTCTGTTAAGAATAAGCTTGTGTGAGAGCTTATAAAAGTATAGTATGTCATAACGTAATGAAAAAATCTTTCTTAGCTGTTTGAATGCAGTATTACACAGTTTTCTGAGCAAATGCAGTAGAATGTAGTTTAGGGACCATAAAAGCCTAGTCTTTTGTCCTTAAACAGTTTGTGAATTCATGCTTTATTTCACCATTAAAACAGCAATTTCTTTAAATGCCTTATTGGATCTTAAAGATTTATTGGAGTTACTGTATCACTGTTATTCTGTACCACACAGAACAGTCAAGATGGAGAAAGAGATTATCATGAAGTCACACGGCAAATCACGGTCTCTAAAATAATGCTTAAATATTTTGTAATATGGGCATGTCTTTTTTTTTTTTCTTTTTTTTTTTTTTTAGTCAAACATAACAGAATTCAAAATGATATTAAAACTTTAGACCTCTAGGTGGAGATAGCATACAACTTCACAATCACATAAAATAAAACAATAACATAATTTATTAATCAACTTTTCTTATGTTAAAGTTCTCCATTTCTAAAGTGAGAGCATAAGAGGAAGTAATTTTAATCACATAGTACTTGCTTGAAGTCCCTAAACTTGTAATTAATTCTAGTTCGTAACTTCAGTTTACTTGCTTTCGTTCTTTGGCTGCAGTAGGTCTTGTCCTAATATGGTAAGGGTTGTATGCCAAATAATGCAAGTTTCATATGATTTTAAAAGTCTGCAATTATTTTTGTTTGTTTCCCAGTGAACAAAATATTTCTTGAAACTACATTTTCTATCTCACTTTATACCCAACTATGGTGCAATATTAGTTGAGTCACAGTGGGCCAGATCCTGCAAACCCTACTCAAGTGAGTAATCTTATTGACGTCAAAGAGACTACATGCGTAATTAAGGAGTTTATGCCTGAGTAAAGTTTGTGGGATTTGACCCTAATTTGATATAATTTTAAGATCGAATTTCTCAGTGGAGTCTTGGGTTCAAAAAACTGTTGTATATTAAAGAGAGGCTTAAAAATGGCAGAGACTTATGGTACAGAAATACATTTCACAAACAAAAAAAATGAGCCATCCAGTAATTAAAATTAAGAAAAAACTGACACATCAGTAAAATCACGCATGACGTTTTGATGTGTTCTTTCGAAGTTATCTGATTTGGGCCGATTATGTGTTTTATGTGGTGGAAAGCACCGACTGCAATGATTTACATTTAAATACTTCCTCTATGCTGTTGAACTGGAGACCAACAGAAAGCCCTGTGTTTAGTCATTTTATAGCTTGCTTTAGAGAAAGCATCACCCAAACCTACTTTTCGTTTGGAGGAAGAAGAAAATATGCTTGCTTTTGTGGCATTCAGAATGCCTTGATCAGTAGTTCATTCAGAGATGATAAATACTCAAACATTTCAGGTTAAAAATTTAGATGGCTGGAAAAGGTATAAATGGTAATACGTGTAGCATATGATGCTTTACTCTCTTGATACCAATATACTGGTATTAAGTAGGTAAGACTAATGAGCTCATGCATTTCACATGCATGGTGCTTAAAATTGCTGGCACAGTAATAGTTGCATGTGTGAGGCTTTCTGCATGTGAGGGTTTCCCTGACACCAAACCCCTTTGGTCTGGGTGCCCAGGTCCCAGAGGACTGTTAAGCACCATAGCTGCCTGGGCAGCAGGTTCATGTTCCAGTCCCTAGTGTGTTCCACAGAGATTTGACCCATAAAGGCTGTAATGTCTCTATCGGGGAAGTTTGAAACAATCGGTGATCTATAGATTCTTCTTTATTCTTTATTTATTATTTCTTTCTCTATCCAACTTTTATAAGGTTTGTCTGCATCTAGTGGAATACGAGATAATGCTTTTTATGACAAAATAACATTTTAAAAATATGAAGGCTATTCATAGCTATCCTGCAGCTTGCTAGTCAGCATTGTTGTTTCCACCCGCCAACCGCTGGCGTCAGAGGACTCCCTGAGCATGATCACTGGAGTTTTCCCTCATGTTAGTTCTTCTGGTCATGTACATTACATGACCATTGGGTGGAAGCATATCCACAGGATTTATCCACAGATAGAGTATACCTAAGTGAGGACAGATAAGACAGAGCTGGAAGGAGATGGTCCTTAAGTGATGTGCCACTGAGGCCTGGGAAGCTCTTTTAGGCTTTTTCACCTACACAGCCAAATGTGTTATTGGAGCTTGCAGTAGCATTCACAGCAAGGCAACGATGACTGGAAGTAGAGACTACTGGAAAATTACTTCCTTGAAATTTTAAATAGTATGTCATTGACTCTTATATTTCTGAACTTGTTGTATATATACATGTAAATTGTATGCTCTTATACTGTTAACTACACCCTTCCTGTTAGAGTGCAGCAAGTTAAAGGCCAACCTGAAAAAAATGCATGTTGAGTGTATCTTACAACATACCTAGCATTTTCTAAAATGTAAAATGTCCATTTAGATCAGTGCTGGCTGACTCCCTGGAAGATGAAGCTAAGAATAACATCACCATCTTTACAAGAATTCTAGACAGACTTCTGGATGGTTATGATAATCGCCTCAGACCTGGATTAGGAGGTAATAAAACCAATTAAAGATTGATTTTTTAAAAATCAATTTTAATGTTCAGATTTTATGCAATGATATTCTTCCTTCAGGGTTTTTTTTTCCTAACAACTGGTATATATCTTGATAAATTATTTATAACTACATTCACCCAGATGAATCATTTGAAGTTTGAGGAAGATAACATCTATGAATGGAAAGGAGGCACTTTCACACATTTATCTTAAGTAAAAAGAAAAAAAAATCTGGTGATTTAACAAAGTAAAACAGAATGAGAACAAAAATAACATCTAAAGCTGTTATTCCAGCTAGGGAATTTTGGTTGAACAACGAATGCAGGCTTGATTTCCTGCAATGCGATGAATGTATGTTTTTAGAAATCTGCACAAGTGTTTTGTGTGGTGTGTGTGAATTCTATGCTGTAGATTCATTTATCGGCTCAGTAAATTCAGTGGAAATGTATTTTAACTTCCTTGGAACTAGGGTTTCATTGGTAATATAAATTCTGTTTCTGGGCACCTTGCACTTATTTAGGCATTTGGAAAAAGAAATAAAGAAAAAAGAGAATACTGGAAGACAGAGGTCACTGCACTCTAGTGCCATGATTGTCCACTATTTTTCAAAATGTCAGTTAATATTTTCATTTTAAAGCTCTATGCCAGCTTATGTCAGTATGTAGGCAAGAAATTTAAATAATTTGTGTGGTGTTGAAAACATTACTGTGCAAAAAGATCTCTGGCATGGGGAAGGGCTGAATATCTTAGTTTTGATAATATTTTATCTACTATTACTGTGTATCTGCTGTTTATGCTAACATTAACATGTAGGTATCAAATATAACACTGTTACTGTTATTATTTGTAAGAGTTTTGATAATTATCATTTTCAAGTGGAAACTGTTTCAGCTTGCTAAAACTAATTCTAGTGCAAAATCCCTGGGAGTCATTCCTGTTGATTTCAGTAAGATTGGGCCCAAAGCTAGAGACGTGCTCTACCTTCCATGGAAATTACAGTAACAACTCAGTTTGATCAAATTAGGAATTAGTTAAAGCTCACAGTTTTTATCCAACACTATTCCATCCTAACCTGTGGCTCTGCTGCTCTTCTGGTCCTGGAGAATCATAGCTTGCATCTGACACAGCAGAAAGTGGGAGCTGGCGCTGGCTGGAAACAGCTTTCTCATTATACATTTTTTTTTAACCTAGGATATCTTTTCGTGTCCATTTCTGGCCTCTGTATAATGGAGGCTTGTGAAATATTTTACATTTAAAGACTTTTTAATTTAGATCATACATAAAATGGGACTTATAGCACGGTTGATGTGAGAATTTATATAGTGATATTTTACATGGAATTTTGATTTCTTTGCAAAATACCGAAATTTAAGAATTTAGGCATTGTATACATATACCATGACTTGCAGAAACATTTCATATCACCAAGCTCATGTTCAGTTGGCAGGTACTTTATTAGAAAAATAATGAAAGTTTATTTTCTTGTTTACAACAAGCAATGTGCCATTTAATCAGAGCAGTCTGCAGTTCCTTTGCATATCAAATACTCTTTTTAATATTAAAATTTAAATTGTTAAGAACATGATATTAAAAAAAATCAAATGGATTTTTCTTTTAGACTTTTCATTAAATCTACTTCCAAATACCTTCCTCTTTACCTGCATGAAGCCTCCTAGGTAATTAAAACATACTTTGGGAGCACAAAAATTAAAGAATTTACATCTGTTTGATATTAGTGTACATGACAATCAACCCATGCAGAACATGTGTGAAATGGAACTGTGTCATGCATATTAAACCGTGATGATTCATAACACATTAATCTTAATCTTCAAAAATACTTCAGTCATGGATGGATGGATTCCTACAGTTTAAAAGAATACTTGTAAGTGCCAGTTGTGATAATCCGTGATATGAAGTATACCAGACAATGCTTTTGTACATAATGCATAGTAATTATGGACTTCTTTATTTCAGGAATTTTGTGGCACTTTATCCCTTTTTCTCTATTGACCTATACTCTGAAAAGAGATATGGAAATTTTTTTTCCACACTATGTGCCTTGTAAGCCCTGGCAGTTTCTAAAAGTGTTTTTGCATAGATTACTGCATTCTGACCATGATACACATCATTAATTTAATATACTTAGTCTAAGTTCTGTTCTTGCATTTTTACGAATCTGAAATAGCTCAGCTGAAACTAGTAGAATGTTTACTTTGGCATAGCAGTTTGCATAATCATGCTACTCTACTATGACTGAGATCACAATCTGGCCTAACATGTGCTACAACAGAAATAGTCCAGGGTCTGAGATGGATTCTTTTAAAGTCTTCTGAAAGCAAGAGCTGTCCATCAGCCCACTTTCACTTGCTGTGAAAGACGTTTTCAGACATGTCTTAGAGCAAAAATTCAGCTCATTCTTTTAGTAATGAAAAGTTTTAGCTTAACACCATCAATTTAGCTAACCATTCACCCACAAAATGGAAACATATGGGCTCCTCGAAAGACTGTATATAAATTCAGCTGAGTAAATGTATGTTTGGGAATTAGTTCTTGAATTGAGGGATAGATTTGTAATTAATTTTACTGGGAGACTTGGTGTAAGTACTTACAGTATGTAACTTGATGCTTTACTGATACATCGCTACACTTCAAAACTGAGTACTATTTTCTGTAGATGACTCAGCTTTAAGTTTTACTGGTGATATAAACAGGTAATTTATATCTGTCGTATAAACAGGTTTTGGCTGTTGGCTATTGGCTGTCCTAGCAACTGGGATCCTTGAATGGTGTATGAACACTACAGCGATGAAATAACCTGCAAAATGGGTGCGGGCAGGGAGAAGAAGACATTGCACAATCCTCTGAAGCCAGAGACATCTCATATGACTTAGATAATACCCCAAGCTACTGTGTTTGTATGGATATGCATGAGTGTATTCAAGGGGAGATAATTTTTTCTCTGTACTCATTTTTTTGCTAAGCATAGGATTGCAGGTAGAACACTCTTGACTGCACTTTTAGTTCTGACATGAACTGTTTTACCCAAACATTCCATGCCATTTCTGCTTAGGCATCAAAATAAATTACAAGATTGGCTTAAAAACAAATTCCCTATGTCATTAGCACTAATTTGTATGAAGTTCAGCCTTGCAAATGACAAGTGAGAAAGAGTTTGATTGTTTATGATTTTCTACAAAATCATGAAAATATTTTTTTTCTCTTTATTCACTGTAATATTTGCCAGACATCTAGGGTAACACTTTTTCATAAATCCTTTGATTTTTATTGGGATGTAGAAAAGAAAATCCACATAACAAAAAAATAAGCAGAGAATCAAAAGAGAATCTAGATCTTCAAATAATGAGAACAGAATTTTGAAGCTAAGATATAGCTGCATTCAAATCTGGAAGTGATGAATTATCTGTCTGCTGTGTCTGCTCTCCTCTGCCCCATGAAGAGACATGATCATGTTGGATATTTCAGTATTCTGACCATTCCTCCATAAGCTAAGCCTCCATTACTTTCTCACTTTTGAAATTGGTAATTTCCAACAGCTATAGAACTTCTGTCTGTTCTACTCTCCCAAATTTATAAAACATAATTGAATAAAAGGCTCAGAAAATGAAAAAAAAAATATTGGAGGGGAAAAAACTGAACAAACAAGGGAAGTTACAAGGACAGAGGACTGGACTTCATAGCTTGAAATTTCAACAGCCATATTCACATCAAGAAGAACTATGGAAATTTATACAATTTGAGGATCCTTCCTCAAACTGTGATCAGTCTCACCAGCTCCAGGAGTGGCATTCTCATTGTAAACAAAGAGGTGAATGCTGCTTGTTAAAAAAAAGAGGAAGATGAGACAGTAGGTAGGTGAAAACTAAAGGCCACTGTGGTTCCATTTTGAGTGATACATCTCTGCTTTCAGATGTTCTGATTACTTTAAACAAGAATCTCTGTTGCATTTCACTTACAAACAGACCAAACCCCTTTTTTCCCCAAAATTTTGTAAATAAATTGGGCAGGAAAACTGAATAGAACTGAGAGGAATTGTAGCTGACTGTTGTTGTCAAAGAGATGGTGAGGCCTGAGCACTTGTGGGTATGATCTTTCATCTTTGGAGCACTGGATGTATCATTGCGTGGAATCAGTGTAGTAGTGTAGAATATCAGACTCAGTGATTGAAAGTTTTATGGAGTGCTCTCCAAAACCCATTTTTTCACAGAATACCCATCCTCCCCAGATCAGGAGAGCTATATACATATATATATTTCTATCTGTGTTTATCAAATACTTGTATGTTGTCAGTTGCCAGGACACAGGGCCATGATCATATGCTGATAATCTGGAATATGTTAAGTTTAGGGCAGTATATTTACACATCTCTGTGATTCAGAGTTTTTAATCAGCTTCAAAAAAGTTTGTAGTTGCACCAGTCCCCTAGCTGGGCATTCCAAACTTACCGGTTTTTGTCAGCCCTCGACATGCTTAATACAAATTCAGTGTATCGTAAAAGAAGATTCTTTGACTATTTCTTTTGCAGAACACTACTGGAAAGCTTTTACTAGTGTTTTTAAAGAAAAAAATGGCAGTTTCCCCACTCAGTTCTGGTTGCTTCCTTAGCCTTTCTTGGCTCCAGTTTCATCTTTTGGAAATGGTAATGTCTCTCTGCCAGAGCAATTCAGAGCAGCAGTTCCATTTTCTAAAATCCCACTATCTTTGTAGTTATGCTGGAACACGAAGTAAACTATTGTATGCTCTTTTTTTTACCTGGAAGACCCACATAGAATCTTCCCAAAATAGTGCTTTCAGAGGAGTCAGAGAGAAACTCAGGTTAATTTTTGTTAGTGTTGTGGATAATATGTACTGGCAAAAAGCGTTCCTTATAAAAAATGGAAAAGCAATAGAGAGGAGGATATGAAAATCTCATTACTTATCCAGGGCATGCAGATGGTGCTAAAATCCAAGAACAGAACTAAGTCATAGCTATAAGCA